GCTAAGAACAGAAATTCTGTTGTTGTTTTTTAATATATTTTTATTGATTTCAGAGAAGAAGGGAGAGGGAAATAGAAACATCCATGATGAGAGGGAATCATTGGTTTTGTGCCATTTGCACACTGCCCACTAGGGATGGAGCCAACAACCCAGACATGTGTCCTGACAGGGAATGAACCTCTTATGACCTCTTATTTCCAGGGCCAATGCTAAGTAGCTGAGCAACATCACCAGGGTCAGTCCAATGTTTTAGAACTTGCCCGTGGCAGAGAAGTAGCTATTTCCTATTTATTGCCTGGCTCATTGTAAGCCAAAGAGGAGATTCCAGCCTCTTTAATTCCCATTTGCTATTGTTTTCCTGGGGCCATTTTCTGGGGAAAGCTGAGGAGAAAGGATTTTCAGGTTCATTCATCTACTCTTTCTTTTTCTTTTCAGTTGTACATTGCAGTCCCCCCCCTCCCCTTATTTGAGCCCTTATGAAATTTTTATTTCAGTGTGCATGTATTTATATTTTTCACTATTCTATAAACTGCAGATTCTAGGGCTTTTGCCTTACCTTTAAAGAATGGATTTGGTAGAGGGAAATTGTGAAGTTACTATGGTACCTAGCAAAACTTAGTTATAATAACTTAGTTACTATATTTATTTATTTTGAAAAATATGTGGGTTTTTTAATTGATATCAGAGAGGAAGGGCAGACAAAGAGAGAGAGAGGTCAATAATGACAGATAATGATTAATTTACTGCCTGCTGCAAGCCCCATAAGGCCATGATCAGCAAACTGTGTCTCAAAAGCCACATGTGGCTCTTTGGCTCTTGAGTGTGGCTCTTCCACAAAATATATACCACGGCCTGGGCAAGTCTATTTTGAAGAACTGGCATTAGAAGAAGTTTACGTTTAAAAAATTTGGCTCTCAAAAGAAATTTCAATCACTGTACTTTTGATATTTGACTAATGAGTTTGACGAACACGGCCAGAAAGGAATCTAGCCTGCAACTCTGACATGTGCCCTGACCAAGATTCAAACCAAGTCTATCTGTTTTGTGGGTGGAGACTCAATAATTCAATTTCACCAGCCAGGCTAGTTGCTATATTTATTATTTGAAATAGGAATGAGATTGCTGGGCCTGGCCTATAGAGTGTTAAAATACTGTATGACAAAATTAGTAATAAAGGAAATAATAGAGCAAGTGGGGGTTGGACAATTTCTGTAAGGGGCAGTACTATGTAACAGCAGGACAGGAAGGCACAAGGCCAACAGAATTAATTTATTTTGCAGGACAATGAAACTTCTTCTGCTATATGCTTACTTAGGTGATTTGCAACTTGTTGAGAAATGCTTGAGATAAATTTCTGAGAATTAATTAATTTGGGGATCTTGCTGATCAGTGAACCTTCCATTGGCTTACAATCCTATCCACTGAGTTAGAGGGCAGAAGCTTCACCTCCTTCTAGGATATGTGGTCTCTGATGACTCTTACATTTGTTTTTCCATAATTTTTAAAAGTTGGGTTACTTAGATTTTCACTTTTTAAACTTCTAGCAATGTTAATTATTTTCATAGATTTTTAAAAACAGGACTTAAAATTCCCAAACATTTGATAATGTGAAAAATAATTCATATGGAGGTGGCATCAGTAACTTGTTAACTTGTTATGGGTTTCAACAAAATTCAGGTAGCATGGCACTTCTGTTAATAAGAATTCTCTACAGCATCTGTATGATAATGACTATAGTTAGTACTGTGTTCCATATTGAAAAGTTTCATGTATTTTACAGCAAAATACATTTACATTCTGTTAGGCTGTCAGCCCCCATGTGTTGTTTTCTATGTTATAATTTTAATCAGATTATCAGACCAAAAATCTATATAATCCACTTAAGGTGGGCATTTCCTTTTGTAGATTTAAGCCAATGCCAGCAAGTGGGTGTGGCTTGAGGTAAGGAGAGTCATATAAAACCCATACTGTGCAGAGCCCAACATACTTCTGGTAGATTGACTGAAGTTGGAGCTGCCAGGTGACTAAAGAGATTCCTACTAACCCTGCTATTGGCAGAACTTAACAGAGTTGGGAGAGCTCATAGTAGACTGGTGAGTATGGAATTTAGAATAAATAAGTTTTTATTTTTTAAGTAAATATCTCAAAAACTGCCTACTTTATCTTATTACAAATATTTTCAACTTAACTGTCTGGGATCTTCCCTAACTAGAGAAGTAGATTTCTTTTTTTTCTTTTCTTTTTTTTTTTTTAATATATTTTATTGATTTTGTACAGAGAGGAAGGGAGAGAGATAGAGAGTTAGAAACATCGATGAGAGAGAGTCATCGATCAGCTGCCTCTTGCACAACCCCTACTGGGGATATGCCCGCAACCAAGGTACATGCCCTTGACCGGAATCGAACCCGGGACCCTTCAGTCCCCAAGCCGACGCTCTATCCATTGAGCCAAACCGGTCTTGGCAAGAAGTAGATTTCTTAGTTCACTGAAATGACATGAATATTTCAAATATCTGGAATTGGAGCACTTGTAATATATTGATATTTGCTATAATAAGTTATTTCATTATTTTTTTTAATTTTAGTACCATATTGCCAGTAGGTGTTTTTTAGATCATAATAGAGATTTCTCTAATTATGGAAATCATAAGAAACCTAAAATATTTCACATAACTTATGCATGTAAGAATCTTCATATTCATTAAGCTAAAGTAGAAATGAGTCAATTAATGAGAAAAACTCACAAAGGTCCTCTTTGCTATTCCATTAAAATCTTCAGTTCCAGGCTCTATTTGAAAACTTTGAAATAAATCCCAACAAATTTAAGGCTTCCCAAGAAGTGGCACTGGACACATGGGAGATTATCAGAGACAAAGATGAACAAGTCACGCTGTCTTCCTCTCTCTGAAAGTTAATAAAAACATTTCTATTTAAAATAACCTATTAGGATATCCCCTCCCCAAATTTCTTTTCTTTTGTTATTTTAATATAAAATAGTGAATATATGGCATACCAAAAAATACAGTCAGGTCTTCTCCTTACAGAGTCTGTATTAGAAATTTTGCTTATTCACTAAATTTATTTGTAATCTTAAAAAAAAAATGTTCATGTCGTTTTCCCAGCCATTCTTGGACTTGCACTGAGATGGAGTAATTTGCATCCAGCCAGTTGAATATTCCAAGCAGAGTTTGAATAAAGAGAAGCTCAAACAGCAAGTAAGTGTCTTTTCCATTGTCTATTATGCCAGGTTTTTGGCATTTGGGTGTCAAAGCACTGGGATATGCCTTATGAAGATATTATATCTGTTAGATAAGCTTCCTTAAGGAATGAACTCTAGGGCATGAATTTAATGTTCATAAATAAACAATATATAATTATTAAGATGTCTTTAAATAGAAATACACATAAAGTAAAATTATGTGCTAACTGATGGATGGGCATTCTATGACCAGAGGCTGGAAGGAGACAAACTCTGCCTTTTGGTCAAGAAAAATGTTTTAGTATATGCTAGTACATAGAGTGCTTTTGTAATATTATAGAACACAAAGGGAATTTACTATAAGTTTTTAATATCATTTTAGTCATAAAGTAATTTGTATTTAAAATGCAATCTATACTTATGATAAAAAAGTAATAGAATAGGGAATAAATTATGAACAATTTTATGAAGATCTTATTTATAGCAAAGAAAATTAAACAGCAAAGAACAGAAATAGATGGTAAATCTAATTACCAATGGGGAGGAGGCAATTGTGTTCACAAGAATTATTTTTACAGAGGAGATTGACAAAATTTTTGTAAATTTTAAAAAATATATATTTTATTGATTTTTTACAAAGAGGAAGAGAGAAGGATAGAGAGTGAGAAACATCAATGAGAAAAAATCATCGATCAGCTGTCTCTTGCACACCTCCTACTGGGGATGTGTCTGCAACTAAGGTACATGCCCTTGACTGGAATTGAATCCAGGACCTTTCAATCCGCAGGCCAACGCTCTATCTACCGAGCCAAACCAGTTTCAGCAAATTTTTGTAAATTTGATAAAGAGGCCCAAGTATTCGAAAATTCTCAATTTCTTTTAGGTATTGGAAAGAAAAAATAATTGGATTTTTAGGGAGTGTTCCTTGTTTGTTTACACCCTGCATTATACTGTCATGTAAATACATTGGATTACAGGGGTGATATCTATAACAACATTTGAGGGCATACAAAAAGAACATAAATTGTTAACAATTAGCCCGCTACACTTGGGAGGGCCTGAATAAATGATTTTGGAAGCCATATATGGACCTCAGGCAGTACTTCCCCACCTGTGGTTAGAGGATCATTTTAAGAAATTCCTGGTACTCACAAAAAATCAATAAATATTTTTAAATGAATCTTAGATATTGTTGGGTATCTGTGTACTATGATAACCTTTTGTTTTATTCATTTTGTTTTTATTCCAGAGAAAAAGCGAGAGACATAGAAACATCAATGAAGACGGAGAATCACTGAATTGCTGCTTCCTGGAAGCCCCGCAGTGGGGATTGAGCCTGCAACGTGGCCATGTGCTCTGACCTGAAATGGAATTGAGTTCTCCTACTTCATAGGTGGACACTCAACCACTGAGCCACGCCATCCAAGCAGCATTTTTATTTTAGATGTATCTTTCAGACAGTTATTAGAAACAACCCCTGGATGTTGTAGAGAGTATGTTGTGAATGCAGGACAGTTACCAGGATCTGTAGGCCCAGCTCTGAGAGATTTCCTGTTAGACAAGACAACTTCATCTTCCCACTACTGACTTAACCTGGCTGGAAAGAGAACAGAAAACTTTTCCTTTGAAGTTGGAAATCTTGTTTAACCTTAAAACTTGCAACGTCAAGGGTTCCAAGTCCTCCATATCTGGCAGAAATGTCCAGTGGCCCTGTATCTGCCAGCTGTTGCCACACACAGATTCAGGTAGTGAAATTCTCCCACATGTGGACCATCAGTAACTTTAGCTTTTGCAGGCAGGAAATGGGTGAATTCATTCAAAGTTCAACCTTTTCATCAGAAGCCAATGATCAACTGAAATGGTGTTTGAGAGTATACCCAAAAGGGAAAAATGAAGAAAGCAAAGATTACCTATCTCTTTACCTGATATGTCTCAGCTTTCCAAAGAGTGAATTTTGTGTAAAATTCAAATTCTCAATCCTGAATGACAAGGGAGAAGAGACCAAGACTTTGGTCAGTCGCCTTGCATATAGATTTGTACAAGGCAAAGACTGGGGATTCAAGAAATTCATCCGTAGAGATGTTCTCTTGGATGAAGACAATAGTCTTCTCACTGAGGACAAGCTGGCCCTCTTCTGTGAGGTGAATGTGGTGCAAGACTCCATCACCAATTCTGGCCAGAATCACAGGAAGATGGTAAAGGCTTCAGAGTGTCAGCTGACCGATGAGCTAGGGGGACTTTGGGAGAATTCCTGGTTCACAGACTGTTGCTTTTGTGTGGCTGGCCAGGAATTCCAGGCTCACAAAGCTATCTTAGCAGCTCGTTCTCCAGTGTTTTGGGCCATGTTTGAACGTGCAATAGAGGATAGCAAAAAGAATCCAGTGGAAATCATTGACGTGGAGCCTCGAGTGTTTAAGGAAATGATGTGCTTCATTTACACTGGGAAGGCTCCCAACCTGGACACAATGGCTGATGATTTGCTGGTAGCTGCTGACAAGTATGCCCTGGAGCGTTTGAAGGTCATGTGTGAGGAAGCCCTCAGCAGTCAGCTGTCTGTGGAGAATGCTGCAGAACTGCTCACCTTCGCTGACTTCTACAGCGCAGATCAATTGAAAACTCAGGCAGTGAATTTCATCAACTTTCATGCTAAGGATGTTATGGAGACCTCAGGGTGGCAGGCACTGGTGGAGTCCCATCAGCACTTGGTGACTGTGATGTACAGCTCTCTGGCTTCAGCACAGGGCCCCCACGCAAGCTCCTAAATCAGTCCTGAGATCCTGCCTGTTGTGAGACTGCCTTGACTTTCCTGAAGCAGAAGCCATAGTTGCTGCCATTGATCACCCGGTAGACAGCACAATCTGTGGAATTTTTCCTCTGCTGGGGGGGGGGGGGGTGGTCTGCACCTCAGCCCAAGTTTTTTAGATTTATTTTTAAATAAATCATATATTTTAATGTAATTTTATTGATTTCAAAGGGCAAGGGAGCATGAGATGGAAACATAAATGATGAGAGAGAATCACTATTATGCTGATTCTTGCATGCACCCTACTGGAAATCAAGCCCACAGCATAGACATGTGCCCTGACCACCTTGACTTCCTGTTTCATAGACTGACACTCACCAACTGAGCCACACTGGCAGGGCTAAGGATATTTTCTTTCATTGATTTTTAGAGGGAGTGCAAAGGAGGGAGGTAACAGAGACTCAGAGAAAGAGAAAAAGACACAATGCCCAGCCAGATGCATTGCAAGGGGTAGAAACTGCAACCCAGATATGCACCCTTGAGTGGAATCAAATCCCTGACCCTTCATGTCTGAGCCAAAGCTCTAAACACTGAGACAATGGCCAGGGTGAGATGAGTCTTATATTGGGCCATGATCATGTAAATTTCAAAAGTGTTCAAATGTCTTTCTTTAGGGATTTGCTTGTTCTGCACTTGTTGTGGTCATCTCTGCACTTTATTAGATGTGACTACCAAAACTGCTCTTGTTGTTGTGACCTCATAATAAAGTAACATCTTGAAAGACCAACTTTTGCCTTGTGACTTTATTTGCAATGTGTCCTCATGATTTCTTTTTCTTTTTGCAGTGACTCTCACTTTGAAGCCAGCTGGAGCTAATAGTTTTTACTTCCTTACCTGGAGGTTTGATAAGCCTCCGTATGACATGTGGTCCTCAAGTTGCACACGTGTCTCTCCTGGATCTGAGTGTTTTCATGACCGGGGTACTCAGATTTTTACCTCTGGGAGATAGAAGTGGACCTCATTTGAACTTGGGCTTCTGGAGTCTGTAGTGATGATTCAAAAGAGCAGAATATGAATGTCCAGAAGGGACTTCTTTTTCTGGGCTGTGCTAAAACTTACATCCACTGCAGCTACTTTGAAAATCACTTTGGTCTCCTTTAACTACTTGGTTCAAGACTCACCGTAACATGTTGGAAACCCACCTCAATGGGGGAAAATGACAAAGAAATAATATTTTTAAACGAATAATTCCTATCTGGACTCTGCCAAAACTTCCTATTTAAATCTGGATGCATCCCAGCCCTGACATTTCTCACTGAATGAGCCAGCTGTGGGAATACAGAGATTTTTGTAAAAAAAAAAAAAGGGGGGGGTGGGGGGGTCACCTTGACTGTAAACCTTTTGCAACAAATGGGAACATCTACTTAAAGTAGATGATGTTAGTAAGTTTATACTGTTATAATTTTTAAAATAGTCTTTAACTTCCAAAGCATAGGTACTCTCCCCTAGGGGCAAATAATTGTTAAAAATAAAGCCAAAGGCCATTTTTTTCTCCTATTTATTAACCTGTAGAGAGCCCCCTGAGAAAGCACATGGACATTCTTTTAATTCTTATCAGCTAAGCCCAAGGGCACTGGCAGAATCCTGTTTTCAGTACTGATTTCTTATCTTTGTCCAAGTGTTTGGAATGAGGAAAAAATAGGGCCTTGACTTACCCAGATTTTGATATACTAAATCTTGTACCAAAAAATGAGTAGCTTACTCAGCTCTTGATGAATAGAATCTGGGCACACCCGGAACTCCTTTTTCCTTAAAATCCTCTTTGGAAACCAATAAATATGCTGTGTTGTCTGTGGTGAGTGTGACTGTCTCTCAATTAGAGAGATGGCGCCCACCTAGCGCCCAGCTTTATGAATCTATTTCTGCCTCTTGTCTCATTTTTCTCTAATTTCTTAATCCCCAGCTCCTCCACTAAGGAACCTGTCATTTTCCGTGCGGGATGTGGAAAACAGAGAAAATGCCCACCACATTAACCAATTTTTCTAGCACCAACATTTCCCCAGTGAAGTACAAGAATCTTATTTATTAACCTGTTAACCGGGGAGTTCCCTTTTTAATTACGCAACCTGTAATGGGCAAGTACTCTTTCACTAGGATATGTCAGTACGTCACGCCCGGAGGAAGTAATTTCATATATTTTTTAAAATTTATACTTAATTAAAATAAATGATATATATATTTTTTTGTTTATTTATATATAAAGCACAAAGAAAAATACAAAATTACAAAAAAATAGAAAAGAATACCAACAAAAAAAATGGAAACATCGAATTAAAAAATTATAAATTTTACAAACAATTATAAAGATTATAAAAAATATATACCGTCTCTCTCAGGGCACAACATATATTTCCAGGACTAATTCATATGTCCTATCCATTCCCGATATTGTTTACATTTGACGTATTTATAGGTCCCTCTCGGTTAACAGGTTTAAGGAAATATAAATGACCCCATCACAGCCAGTATGGATCAGTGGTTGGGCATCATCCCACTCCCCAGAGCTCACTGGTTGGATTGATGAGGAGGACATTTGTCCAGGGTCTGGGTGCCATCCCCTGTTGGGGATGTGCAGGAGGCAGACAAATAATGTTTGTTTCTCATAAATGTATCTTTCTTTAACTTTCTCTCTTCTTCTCTTTGAAATCAATTAAAACACACACACGCACACACATATAACAAACAAAAAAGATTAGTTGTCCCTTCATCAAAATTCAAAGATTAAAAAAAATAGTTCTGGGATATAATGAACGTTAAATTGCCTGAACTTACATGACTTTCATGGCATAATGAAAATCAAAGTCAAATATTTTGAGCCAAGCAAGTGACTGTCATTGAGTGTTAGATGGGGTATTAGCGCCTTCAGGACCCAGCACCTGGAGCTATAGATTTGGGAGAAACACCTGAAACTCAAAGCTATTTGGAAAAGGAAGGATGTCAGCAGAAGAGGTGTTATTCTTTATGCAGAAGAAAAGGGGGTTGGAGAGGAATGGAGTTGCTTAAATAGTTAAGAATGGTTTCTCCAGGTTGTGCGAGCTTTCCTATGTCCGCTTTCCATGTGTGTCACATGCCTGCCAAGCCTGTTGTGTTCTGGACAGATCCAGACACCATGGGCTGTGGGCACATGTATGTTTGTGTCTCTATGTATTCTGGGAAAAAGCAGAAAGCCCTCCTTGTTGTCCTGTGTGCAGGGAACTATCAGAGCAGAAAAACCTCAAAACCAAAATTACCCTGAAAAATCTGGTGTCCATGGCCAGAAAAGCCAGTCTGAGGCAATTCCTGAGCCCTGAGAACAATAGGTGTGGGCTGCACAAGGAAACAGAGCAGATCTTCTGTGAAGACCACAGGAGCCTGTTGTTTGCACTGCTCCAGCTCTCAGGAGCATGAGGCCCACAGACACTGCTCCGTGGGGGAGGCTGCTGAGAAACACATGGTGAGTGGTGCCCCTCAGAGCACCATGAATGATGGGGAGAATACAGCAAAGAGATGAGGATTCAATCTTCTTTTTTCTGACTGTACTGATATCTACTTTACACTCAAAAATTAAACTGAGAAAATGCACTGGTTTACCTATCTCCATGGATATTGCAATTAAAAATGGAACTGCCATTTGACCCAGTGATCTGACATCAAGGAATGTATTCTAAGCAACCAGAAACCAGAGAGAATGCATGAACCCTATGTTCACAGCAGCATAATTTACAATTGCTAAGATTCTGAAAAAGCCCAAGTGATCATTAGTAGATGAATGGATTAAAAAACAAAAACAAAACTGTGCCACATTTGTATCATGCAATATGAGGACCAGGAAAAGAAACAGTAGGATCTCTTACACTCTGACACAGCTTGGAGGGTACTGGAGAAGAATATACTAAGAAAAATAAGCCATTCAGGAAAGACAAGTGTCACATAGTCTCATTCATAGGTGGAATCTAATCAATCATAATAGACTGATGGACAGAGTGGTTCCAGAGACATAGAAGCCTGAGAAAGAATGTGGAATTTTAAAGGGAAGGTGGGGGAGGGTCCTGGGTGGGCGATGATCAAACAAAGAACTAGTAGGCATATATGCATAACCCATGGACACAGACAATAGGGTGATGAAAGCCTGGGGCATGGGTCAAGATTGGGCTGGAGCAGATCAATGGGGAATAAAAGGGACATATTTAATATTTTAATTTAATATTTAATACTAAAGAAAACCATGGTGGCAATGACAGACACACATATCCTGGGCTTGCCTTTCCCCTTGGTGACCTCTCACCAGGGCCCTGCTTGCTGGAGTAGGGCTTTCCTGAGCTCCCCTGTTTCTGAGGACTGGTTTCCTGGTTTGTATCTGGCAAGCTCCAAGTAGAGGGCCTGGAGAGGAGAGAACTCTCCAGGCATCTGCTGGTTCCTGCTCTTCACCTCAGTCAGGCTCAGTGGCCTCCTGAGCACTTCTCCCCTCATGCCCTGGTGTCCTGGCAGCTGCATTTTTCTGTGGTGAGGGGGCTGATGGGGGTTAATCTGTGCCCAGGTTGTGTGGGGAACACAGATCTCTGCTCAGAGGCCTCTACAGGCATTGGTGGATACCCATCTCCTGCTCTGAGCTGCTCTTTCCTGTCCACATGAGGCCATAATCACCCTCAGCCTCCCAAGGCTTCCTTGCCATCTTACTGGGTTCTTCATATCAGTGCTTTGCCATTGGCTGAGGTATCTCCAGGGTTGGAGTAGAGGAGGAACCTTGAGCCCCTTTGCAGCCCACACCTCCACTCACTGTTCCCTGGAACTTCTGAGCTTTCTGCCCTGACTCCATTCACCTCCAGTGAAGTGTTTGCATCCTACAGTTGCTCTCAGGCAACAAGGCTGTGCCACCTTATCTCCCTTTGCTAGGCCAGCTAGTTAATGTTCCTTCATCTACTTTTCATTTCCAATAGTCTCCTATTGACTTCTCTAAATCTCCCAGTCGCCTACAGAATCCTCTCCAGTTTTACCACCCAGTGTGTTTGCAGGTTTTTCCTCTGCTTTAAATTTTTAAAAAATATATTTTATTGATTTTTTTACAGAGAGGAAGGGAGAGAGATAGAGAGCCAGAAACATCGATGAGAGAGAAGCATCGACCAGCCGCCTCCTGCACATCCCCCATAGGGGATGTGCCCGCAGCCAACATACATGCCCTTGACCGGAATCAAACCCGGGACCTTTCAGTCCGCAGACCGACTCTCTAACATTGAGCCAAACCAGTTTTGGCTCCTCTGCTTTACTTTAATATGAATAGAATTTCTGGAAGTCATGACTAAACAGAAAACCTGTAATAGTAATTATTTAGAGAACTAAGTAAACTTATTCTTTAATTGACATAAAAGAAAAGAATATGGAAGAATTATAATGAACATTTTGTAGAGAAAGGACTTGATATGTTACTGTAGAGCTGTACGGCATAAGGCATTGTAGTATTGTCAAATATATAAATATATTCTCCGGGTTGGCTGTGGTCTGGCATCCAGGGGGTGGCCCTGGCGGAGTGCTGCACCAGGGGCCCTCAGAGATTATGGACCCGGCCGAGGCAGTGCTGCAGGAAAATGTGCTCAAGTTTATGAATTCCTCAGAGAGAGAAGACTGTAATAATGGCGAACCCCCTAGGAAGATAATACCAGAGAAGAATTCACTTAGACAGACTTACAACAGCTGTGCCAGACTCTGCTTAAACCAAGAAACAGTATGTCTAGCAAGCACTGCTATGAAGACTGAAAATTGTGTGGCCAAAACAAAACTTGCCAATGGCATTTCCAGTATGATTGTGCCCAAAACAATGGAAACTCTTGCTATAAGAAGGAAAAGGAACTGTGTGTCAAATATTTTGAGCAGTGGTCAGAATCCGATCAAGTGGAATTTGAAGAACATTTTATATCCCAAATGGGTCATTACCAACATGGGCACATAATCTCGTACCTTAAACCTATGCTACAGAGGGATTTCATAACTGCTCTGCCAGCTTGGGGTTTGGATCACATTGCTGAGAACATTCTGTCATACCTGGATGCCAAGTCACTATGTGCTGCTGAGCTGTGGGCAAGGAATAGTACCGAGTAACATCTGACGGCATGTTATGGGAAAAGCTCTTGGAGAGAAAGGTCAGGACAGATTCTCTGTGGAGAGGTCTGGCAGAACGAGGAGGATGGGGACAGTATTTATTCAAAAATAAAGTCCTGATGGAAATGCTCTTTCCAACTCTTTTTATAGAGCATTTTATCCTAAAATCATACAAGACATTGAGACAATAGAATCTAATTGGAGATGTGGTAGACATAGTTTACAGAGAATCCACTGCCGAAGTGAAACAAGCAAAGAAGTTTACTGTTTGCAGTATGATGATCAGAAGATAGTAAGCGGCATTGATGGTTTCTTTCATCAATATTTTTCTGTCTTTTTATTTATTTTCCACCCTCTCTAAAAATCAATGAAAAATACTTTGTGACTATAAAAAGTAAATGCGAAAAGATCCTTAGGTGAGGATTAAAAATAGGAAAACAAAAAGAGCAACTTGAATTATAACTAGTCCCACTTGATATCAAGAAAAATAGATAACTATAGTCCACTAGTAATAACTGATAATAGATGACAAATTAGCCTTTTTAAACTGAAAGATTATTTACATCCTATATGCAAATACCACCAACAACCTTCATAACTCTCCAGGCACAGATAGTGTCAGCCCCCTAACTTTTTTCAGTAACCTCCAGGTGGTCTGGCCATTCTCAAGTGGGGGTGGTGAATCCCTAAGTATAGATGAGATGAGTGGCAGTTGACAATGTTGACATTCTGGACCACAAATCAGGTCACAGCAAGCCGAGACTCTGATAGGTTGCTTCCTCCCTGGATCCTCCATTCTGAGGCAACCAGAAAAGAATTACAGAGTCTCAGTCACAAGATAGCTACTGTGTGTACATGCATATGTTTGTGTGTGTGGCCGGGGACATGATTAGATAGACAGGATGAAATATATTTCCTGCCCATCATCCCCACACTTGCTAGGGCTTTGGTTCACTTTTGAAATGTTTTAATAAAACAAAAGGTAATCCATAGACAGAAAAATATTTTTAACACATATATCACATTAAGGATTTGTATCCAAAAAATGCTTGCAATTCAAAATAAGACCATAAATCCAATGATTATTGTGCAACTTAGAGGAGTTAAGAAGGCACTTCACTAAAAAGATATATGGATGGCTACTGAGGACATTGTCTTAGCCTATTTGTACTTCTATGTCAAAATGACTGTAGATCTTGTGGTTTATAAACAACATGTGTTTGTCACAGTTGTGGGGGCTGAAAAGTTCAAGGTCAATATAGTGGCTGATTCAGTTTCTGAAGAAGTCCTATTTCCTGTTTTATACACAGCTGTCATCTCCTTAAGTCAATGATCCTTCCGTTGGCTTACAATCCTATCTACTAAGTTAGACGGCAGCAGTTTCACCTCTTTCTAGGATATGTGGTCTCTGATGGCTTTTACATTTGTTTTTCCATAATTTTTAAAAGTTGAGTTACATAGATTTTCACTTTTTAATCTTCTAGCAATGTTAATTATTTTCACAGATTTTTAAAAACAGGACTTAAAATTCCCAAACATTTGATAATGTGAAAAATAATTCATATGGAGGTGGCATCAGTAACTTGTTAACTTGTGATGGTTTCAACAAAATACAGGTAGCATGGCACATCTGTTATAAGCATTCTCTATAGCATCTGTAAGGTAGTGACTATAGTTAGTACTGTAATGTATATTGAAAAGTTTCATGTATCTTACAGCAAAACACATTTACATTCTGGTAGGCTGTTAGCCCCTAGGCGTTGTTTTCTATGTTATAACTTCAATCAGATTATCAGACCACAATCTGCATAATCCATTCAAAGTGGTCACTTTCTTTTGTGAATTTAAGCCAATCTCAGCAAGTGGGTGTGGCCTGAGGTAGGCAGTTATATAAAAGCCCCATCTGTCCAGAGCCCACTTCACTTCTTCCAGGTAGACTGACTGGAGTTGGAGCTGCCTGGTGACTGAAGAGAATTTCTACGGACTCTGCTATTGACAGAACTTACAGAGTTGGGAGAGCTCAGAGTAGACTCTGGTGAGTATGATATTTAGAATGAATACGTTTTTATTTTTTTAGTAAATATCTCAAAAACTGCCTACTTTATCTTATTACAAATATTTTCAATTTAACTGTCTGGGATCTTCTCCAAGTAGAGAAGTAGATTTCTTAGTTCACTGAAATGACATGAATATTTCAAATATCTGGAATTGGAGCACTTGTAATATATTGGTATTTGCTATAATAAGTTATTTCATTATTTTTATTTTATTTTACTATCATATTGCCAATAGATGTTTTTTTAGGTCATAAAAGAGATTTCTCTAATTATGGAAATCATAAGAAACCTAAAATGTTTCACATATCTTATGCATGTAAGAATCTTCATATTCATTAACCTAAAGTAGAAATGAGTCAATTAATAAGAAAAACTCACAAAGCTCCTCTTTGCTATTCCTTTAAAATCTTCAGTTCCAGGCACTATTTGAAAACTTTGAAGTAGATCCCAAAAAATTTAAGGCTTCCCAAGAAGTGGCATTGGACACAAGGGAGATTATCAGAGACAAAGATGATCAAGTCATGCTTCTGTCTTCCTCTCTCTGAAAGTTAATAAAAACCTTTATATTTAAAATAACCTATTAGGATGTCCCCTCCCCAAATTCCTTTTCTTTTGTTATTTTAATATAAAATCATGTAGATATAGCATACCAAAAAATAGAGTAAGGCCTTCCCCTTACTTACAGAGTCTGTATTAGAAATTTCGCTTATTCACTGAATTTATTTGTAATCCTAAAACAAATGTTCATGGTGTTTTTCCAGCCATTCTTGCACTTGCACTGAGATGGAGTAATTTGCATCTAGCTAATTGAATACTCCAAACAGAGTTTGAATAAAACGAAGGTCAAACAGCAAGTAAGTGTCTTTTCCTTGGCCTTTTATGCCAGGTTTTTGGCATTTGGGTGCCAAAGCACTGGGATATGCCTGGTGGAGATATTATATCTGTTAGATAAGCTTCCTTAAGGAATGAGCTCAATTGGCCATGAATTTAATGTTCATAAATAAACAATATATAATTACTAAAATGTCTTTAAATAGAAATAAAAATAGAGTAAAGTTATGTGCTATCAGTGTTTCCCAAACTTTTGACATATGTGTACCCCTTCTATTATTTTCATAACACTAAGTAACCCTTGTACTCATGAGAATGTAGAATTAGCACAGCTAAGCACAGTGCAGTGCATATCCCCACCAAACTTTGGTGCAACGCATACCCTCACCAAACTCTTCCCATAACCCTGGGTGTATCTGTACCACAGTTTGGGAAAGTTATTAAATAACTGATGGATGGGCATTCTATGACCAGAGGCTGGAAGGAGACAAACTCTGCCTTTTGGTCAAGAATAATGTTTTGGTATGTGCTACCACTTAGAGTGTCTCTGCTATAATATAGAACACCACGGGAATTTACTATAAGCTTGTAATATCTATCATTTATTCAGAAAGTAACTTGTATTTAGAATGCATTGAAAAATTTGTACTTATGATAAAAAAGTAATAGAATAGGAAATAGAAGTATGAAAACTTTTATGAAGATCTTATTTATAGCAAAAAAATTAAAGAGCAAAAAACAGGAACAGATGATAACTCTAGTTACCATTGGGGAGAAAGCAAATGTGTCCACAAAAAATATTTTTTGCAAATGAGATTGACAAAATTTTTGTAAGTTTGATGAGTCCCCAAGTATTGGATAATTCTCAATTTCTTTTAGGTTTTGGAAAGCAAAAATAATTGGATTTTTAGGGAGTTTTCCTTGAGGGTCTACTACCTGGATTATACAGTCCTGTAAACACATTAGATTACAGGGGTCAGAAACTCTTTTTCTATCAATGGCAATTTGGATATTTATAACATCATTTGAGGGTATACACAATGAACTAAATAATTATCAATTAGCAAGCTACATTTGGTCAAATATTTAAATTACACCTAATGCCTTTTGGAGGGTCTGAATAAATGATTTTGGGGACCATATATGGATCTCAGGCAGGACTTCCCCACCTGTGATTACAGGACCACTTTAAGAAATTCCTGCCACTAACAAAAAAAAAATAACAAAACTAAGTAAATATTATTATATGAATCTTAGATATTGTTGAGCACCTACCAACTATGATACCATTTGTGTTTTATTCAATTTATTTTTATTTCAGAGAAGAAGGAAGAGACATAGAGACATAAATAAAGACAAAGAATCACTTAATTGCTGCTTCTTGCAAGCTCCTCAGTGGGGATTGAACCTGCAACGAGGCCATATGCCCTGACCTGAAATGGAACTGAAACCTCATGCTTCATAGGTGGACACTCAACCACGGAGCATCACCAGCCAAGCAGCATTTATGTTTTTGATGCATCTTTCAGACAGTTGTTACTAGAAATAAAGCCTGAAAATTTTAGAGGGTATGCAGTGATTGCAGGGCAGTTACCATCATCTGTAGGCCCAGCTCTGAGGGATTTCTTGTTAGACAAGACAACTTCATCTTCCCACTACTGACTTAACCTGGCTGGAAAGAGGGCAGAAATCTTTTTCTCTGACTTTGGAAATCTTGTTTAACCTTCAAACTTGCAATGTCAAGGGTTCCTAGTCCTTCACCTCTGGCAGAAATGTCCAGTGGCCCTGTAGCTGAGAGCTGGTGCCACACACAGATCCAGGTAGTGAAATTCTCCCACATGTGGACCATCAGTAACTTTAGCTTTTGCAGGCAGGAAATTGGTGAATTCATTCAAAGTTCAACCTTTTCATCAGAAGCCAATGATCAACTGAAATGGTGTTTGAGAGTATACCCAAAAGGGCAAGATGAAGAAAGCAAAGATTACCTGTCACTTTTTCTGGTTCTGGTCAGTTCTCCAAAGACTATATTTTTTGCAAAATTCCAATTTTTTATCCTGATTGATAAGGGAGAAGAAATATTCAAAATTAAATTCAACGAGGGTCACCATGTGTATAGATTTGTACAAGGCAAAGACTGGGGATTCAAGAAATTCATCCCTAGAGATGTTCTCTTGGATGAAGACAATAGTCTTCTCCCTGAGGACAAGCTGACCCTCTTCTGTGAGGTTAGTGTGGTGCAAGATTCCATCACCATTTCTGGCCAGAATCATAGGAAGATGGTGAAGGTTCCTGAGTGCCAGCTGGCCAGTGAGCTAGGAGGACTTTGGGAGAATTCCTGGTTCACAGACTGTTGCTTTTGTGTGGCTGGCCAGGAATTCCAGGCTCACAAAGCTATCTTAGCAGCTCGTTCTCCAGTGTTTAGGGCCATGTTTGGACATGTAATGCAGGAGAGCATAACGAATCGGGTGGAAATCATTGACATGGAGCCTGGAGTGTTTAAGGACATGATGTGCTTCATCTACACGGGGAAGGCTCCCAACCTGGACAAGATGGCTGATGGTTTGCTGGCAGCTGCTGACAAGTATGCCCTGGAGCGTTTGAAGGTCATGTGTGAGGAAGCCCTCAGCAGTCAGCTGTCTGTGGAGAATGCTGCAGAAATGCTCACCTTGGCTGACTTCCACAGCGCAGATCAATTGAAAACTCAGGCAGTGGATTTCATCAATTCTCATGCTGAGGATGTCATGGAGACTGAGGGGTGGCAAGCGATGGTGGCATCCAATCCCAGCTTGGTGACTGAGCTGTACCGCTCTCTGGCTTCAGCACAGGGCCGCTGTCTGGGACCCTCACGCAAGCGCCTGAAGCAATCCTGAGATCCTAGCTGTTGTAAGACTTCTTTGACTTTCCAGAAGCAGAAGTCATAGTTGCTGCCATTGAGCACCAGATAGACAGCAAAATTTGTGGAGTTTTTAGTCTACTGTGGGGGGAAGCCTGCATCTCGGTTCCAGATTTTTAGTTTGAATGTTTTTTTTACAGAGATCATATTTGGAAACCTATCATTATTGATTTCAGAGTGGAAAGGAAAGGGAGTGAGAGGGCACTAAGTGATAAGATTGAATCATTATTAAGCTGATTCCTGCTTGTTGCCTACTGGAAATCAAGCCCAGAACGGAGGCATGTGTCCTGACCACCAATGGATCCTTGACCTCCTGGTTCATAAATTGACACTCACCTTCTGATACACACTGGCGGGGCTAAGGATATTTTCTTTCATTGATTTTTGAAGGGAGTGCAAAGGAGGGTGGTAACAACAGAGACTCAGAGAAAGAGAAGACACAATGCCCAGACAGATGCATTGCAAGGGGTGAAACCTGCAACCCAGATATGCACCCTTGAATGGAATCAAACCCCCGACCCTTCATGTCTGAGTCAAAGGTCTAAATACTGAGATAATGGCCAGGGTAAGATAGGCTTATATTGGACCATGAACATTTAAATTTAGAAAAATGCTCAACTGTCTTTCTTTAGGGATAAGCTTATTCTGCACTTGTTGTGGTTATCTCTGCACTTTATTAGATGTGACTACCAAAACCGCTCTTGCTGTTGTACCTCTTAATAAAGTAACATCTTGAAAAACCAACTTTTGCCCCATGACTTTATTTGCAATTTGTCCACATGATTTCTTTTTCTTTTGGTAATGACTCTCACTTTTCAACCATGAAGAGTTAATAGCCTTATCTCCCTACCTGGAGGTTTGATAAGCCTCTGTGTGGGATCTGATCCTCAAGGGGCACATGTGTCTTTCTTGAATCTGAGTGTTTTCATGACTGGGGTGCTCAGACTTTTGCCTTTGGGAGACATTCCTGGGAGACATTTGGAGGTGAGCTTCTGGAGTCTGTAATAATGATTGGAAAGAGCTGAATATGAATGGCCAGATGGACTTTTTTTTTTTCTGGGCTGTGCTAAAACTCACATTCACTACCATGTCTTTACCATCTCCCCACTTGCAAAGCAGTATGTATCCAAAACTATTGGCTGAGTAAGGGTATTCTTGGACCATGAAGGTGGAACAGTGACCTTTAGAAAGATAGCTCAACATTCCCTTGTATGTAGAATCTTTTCTTGCTCTATCTCTCCCTGTCGCAGGCCTATCTTTTGCTTTAGCCACTTTTGATTAGAAATAGATTAGGAATCTTTCTACATGCTGAGCAAATTCAATATCTAAGGATTGCATTTTCCTAGTACACTATCAATTAAGATAAATATGTTACCCTTTTTTTGTTTTTAGTTTCCTTATGTCATGAAAATTCATTTACTGTATTATGAAATACTAGAGGCCTGATGCACAAAATTTCTGCCTGTGCAAGGGGCGGGGAGTGTTTCCTTCAGCCCAGCCTGCACCCTCTCCAATGTGGGACATCCCTCACACAATCCAGGACTGCTGGCTCCCAACTGCTCACCTGCCTGCCCACCTGATTGCTCCAAACCACTTCTGCCAGCTATCCTGATCACCCCTAACCACTCCCTTGGCAGCCTGATCAATGCCTAACTGCTCTCCTGCTGGCCCTATTGTCACTAACTCCCCTCCCTGGCCAGCCTGTCATTCCAATTGCCTTCCCCTGCAGGCCTGGTTTCCCCCAACTACCCTTCTCTGCAGGCCTATTTGCCCCCAACTACCCTCAACTGCAGGCCTGGTCATTATGAACTGCCCTCCCCTGCTAGCTCAGTCACCCCCAACTGCCCTCCCCTGCTGGCCTGGTTCCCCTCACCTATCTTCCCCTATAGAGCTGGTCCCCCCAACTGCCCTCCCCTGCAGGCCTGGCTCCCCCAAAGCTGTCCTACGTTGCAAGCCTGGTCTCCTTCAACAGCTCTCTTATGCTGGCCATCTTGTGGCAGCCATCTTATTTCCACATGAGGTCAGCCATCTTGTGTGTCGGAGTGAGTCAATTTGCATATTACTCTTATTAGATTGGATGATGTTAACATTCAAAACATAAGTATTAGTTTGTACTTTACTAATTTTGGGAAAATCATCATGCATGATGTATGTCATAGAAGATGTTCTCTGTATTTTGCTCTATTTCTAAAATTTTATCAGGAAATTTAATAATACAGGTGTGTCTAAAATAAATTTAAATGCAAGAAGAAGGCTGATTTCATGTAGCATAATAGTCTTCTGCGCCATCCCTGCTGCCCCAAAGTTTAAGAGATCCCCTTTTACAGCTACATAGTATTCCACTGTGTAAATGTCACACAGCTTTTTTAAAATCCATTTGCATACAGATGGCCACTTGGGCTATCTCAAAATCTTAATTATTGGACAATGGAAACTAAGGAGAAAATAGACAAATGGAACTAGGTCAAAATAAAAAGCTTCTGCACAGCAAAATATTCACTATCAAAATGAAAATGTCATACAATTGTATGACAGAAAATATTTGCCAAGGTTACCTCTGATATGGGGTTAATATCCAAATTATAAAAAGTACTCATACAGTCAAAATTGGTTTGGCTCAGTGGAATGAGTTTCAGCCAGCGGACTAATGACTGAAGCATCAATAAGGAGGGAATCATTTATTGGCTGCCTCATACTCCTACATGCCTCTGACTGGAGATCAAACCTGCAACCTTGGGATGTGCCATGACTGGGAATTGTACTGTAATCTCCTGCTGTAGAGGTTGACACTCAACTACTAAGTCACTTTGGCTGGGCTCACTAACATACTTTTCAACAAAAGAAAGTACACACGGAAAGGTATATACTATGTGATTTTACCCATATAAATTTAAAGAAATTATTATAATCAGGGCATATTAATCACTAGCATATAATTACCTTTCTGGGGGAGGGGATTAGACTTGGGAAAGGTTAGACAATTCTGGAATCTAGAGGTATGAGTATGTTACATTTGTTTTATTAAATAGAACATTCTTTTGACAATTTCTTCACCATTTTCCGGTAATATTTAGAACCCTAGCCAAAAGTGGTTTGGTTCATTGGATAAAGCATTGGCGTGCACACCAGGTGGTCCCAGGTTCAATTCCAGTCAAGGGCATGTACCTTGGTTATGGGTACATTCCCAGTGGGGTGTGCAAGAGGCAGTTGATAGTTGTTTCTCTCTCATCAATGTTTCTAACTCTCTATCACTCTTCCTTCCTCTCTGTAAAAAAATCAGTAAAATATATTTTTTAAAAATAGAAAACTTTGGACAGGGAAGGTATAATTTTGGATACCATACCTTTTCACTTTGTTCCCAAACATTATTTCATTCATGGTTTTCTACCTTATGGGTTCCAGAGACCTCTAAGGATATTATTTCCCTAGTTTGATCTATATAGAAGATACAAACTTGCTTTCAGTTAACAGTGATTTCTAAGATGTGGGAAGTCAGCTCCAGTGGCCTTTTAAATTTTATCTCACTCTGTGAAAAACATTTATTTTTTTATTCAATATAAAGATTTGTTTTAATTTAAAAAAATATTCTCATTTATAATGATTCTCATTTCTTTTGTTGTGTCACCTAGCATATAAGGTACAATTTTTAATTTGCTTTTTAACACAACTCTACACAGTTCAAAGCTTGTCAAATCATATAATTAATGTTGGTTAGTGAAATTATTTTTATTTTATTTTTTTATTTTTATTTTTTTCCGGAGGAAAAATAAAAGTTTACTCCTTAACATGCCCTCCTTGGGGACACCCTCAAGTCTAATGGAGACGGGCAAGCCCGGAGGCCTCACGGGGCCACACGCTCTGTGCCTCAGGCAGACGGTACATCCATGATCCAGTCCTTGTGACTTTGGGGGCGTCATGGCCTGAGAGTCCTTTTAACACACACCACCACGGACATGGAAGCGATCCACAGGGTTTGCCAGAGATGTGCAGTAAAACAGGAAAATGTCTGTTAAAAACCCCACACCCTGAGATGACTGAAGAGCCCGTTCCGGTACCCCACCTGTCCTGGGCCCCTGGAGGTGACCATATATAACCCCCGGGCCCCGGAGCTGGCAGAGCTGTGTGTGTCTGCGGAGGTCCGGCATTCAGACCGAGGGTCTGCCTTGATTCTGTCCTTTGAACGGGGCTGACCCGGGCACCTCCACGAGCTGTCAGGGTGCAGTCGGGCACTTGCTGCATCCCACGGACGCCCACAGCTGGCTACAGGGTGGAGTCCATCAGGGGGTGGCCGTTCTCGGGGAGCATGATGCGCATGCTGGCGCCCGCCCGGGTGGAGGCCGTGTAGTGGGCGGACTCCCGGGCGGCCCGGCGGAGGCACAGGCAGCAGAGGAGGCGGCGGAAGGTGCGGCGCATCTCGGCGTCGCGGCAGGAGTACACCACGGCGTTGACCAGGGAGTTGGCCTCGGCCAGGAGGAGGAAATACTTCTCCACCGCGAGGACATTGCAGGACTTGCAGTCCAGACCGTCGAGGAGCAGCACCACCTGGCCCGGCGTCCAGCAGACCACAAACGCCCCCAGGATGATGACCACAGTCTTGACCAGGCTGAGCGTGGTCTCCCGGTTCCGGGGGTGGCAGCTGACGTGCTCGGCCATGCGCTGCACCCGCCGGCGCACGTAGAAGAAGATGCGGGTGTAGACGGCCACCATGAGCAGGAAGACGAGCAGGCTGGACAGGGCCCAGACGGCCAGGTAGGAGCGGCTGGGCAGCGGGGCCATGCGCGAGCAGCTCTCCAGGGCGCAGAGGCAGTGCCAGGAGTGGGCGGGCAGCAGCCCCAGGCCCAGCGCGGCCGCCCACACGCCCACGATGAGCAGGCGGCTGTGCAGCTGCACGGCCATCACGCTGCGGTGCCGCTCCACGGCGATGGCCAGCAGCGTGGCCACCGACGCCGTGAGGCTCGTGTCCAGCAGGCCCTGCCG